ATCCCACCGAGGCAGGGTCACCTAAAAAGAAAAACAAAAGTTTTTCTTTTTAAATTAAATAATGTATACAGGAAAAGGGGTTACTAGCCCCTTGCTCCTGGCATTTTAGCCGCCTCATATGCCATGCGTGGCTTACGGAGGAATAATTTTTTTCCACTTCCCCATGGAGTAATTAGTACTAATTACCTATTCAAAACTTATCCATTTGTGGTTACAGCAGCAGAGTTATGTTGGTGGTGTTCTGTCTTCAGTGTTTGTAGCTACAACAGCAAGAGTTACGTTAGTGGTGTCCTGTCGTCAGTGTTAACTTTCCTTTATACCTTCATAAAAATATAAGAAGAATCATTCTCATCACAGTAAGGTTCCTGCATGCTAACCTTTGATATACATTTGAAGAGTTTCGAGAGTTTCACTACTTTCGGAGCCCGGCTATAGGCCAAGCTCGTCTGGTGTTTGCCTGGTCAACCAGAATGCCAGCCTGGCATCATCCAGAGAGAACATTTTCAGCGTTTTCAGTCTTCGTAAGTACAGTCTACCTATCTTTGTCTTTCCTGAATACTTCGAGACAGAAGTAACAGCTCAGTTGATAATACTGTACACTAGTGTGCTTGTGTCATCCCACACTGTCCCTTAGCGCTTTTATTTTCCCTTTTATTAAATGCTTTTTTCAAGAATGTTTTATATTTTTGTTTATTATTATTATTATTATTATTATTATTATTATTATTACTATTATCAGAAGCATACACTAAATCCCTGAGAGTCATAGCATTTCAAGACATTCATCATGAAGTTATAAATAAAGACAATAGATCAGGTCAGCAAACAAAGGGAGACAGCAGAGGGCAACAAGGGACTAGCTCCCTTAATGTTTACTATACCAATAGCAGGAGTGTAAAAAATAAGACAGATGAGCTAAGATTAATTGCAAGTGCAGGAAACATAGATATTATTGCTATAACAGAGACCTGACCCAATCTGAAAGATAGATGCCTTCTGAACGTCACATACAAGGCTATAAATTATTCCACAGACAGGGTCAACAGGAAGGGTGGTGGAGCAGCGATGTATGTCAGAGACAATTTAATTTGTTGTGTTAGACAAGATATAAAATTAGAAGCGTCAGCCACTGAAGCTGTTTGATTACAGCTTCTCGAGGGCCGTGAAAAACTAATTTTGGGTGTGATTTACAGGGCTCCAAATCTTGATAGGGAGTGCAGTAAACTTCTATGGGACGAAATTCGTTAGGCATCTACATACGAAAATGTTGTGCTAATGGGAGATTTCAACTATAGACAGATTGACTGGAGCAATTTGACAGAAAATTTAGAGTCAAGTGACTTTCTTGATACGATTCAGGATTGTTTTATTAAAACAATTTCTGACTGAACGAACTAGAGGAAATAACCTGCTTGATTTGGTTCTTGCCAGCAAGGAAATGCTAATTAATAATCTTGAGGTTAATGATGAGCTTGGGGAAAGTGATCACAAATCACTTAGTTTTAATATATCATGGAATTCCCCAAATACTGGCCTGGTAATCAAGTCTCTATCCCTGACTTCTGCTTGGTTGATTTCATAGGACTGAAAAGCTACTTGGGTGGGCTGAACTGGAATGACCTGACTATGGGTCAGGTAGGTGGTGATGATTGCCGATATGACGTTTTACAGGGTATAGTTCTAGCTGCTCAGATAACTTATGTTCCAAATAGGGAAATAAGATCAAACAAAAATGATCCTAAATGGATGAACAATAGATTAAAACATATCATTGGTCAAAAGAATGGCATATATAATAATAATAATAATAATCTTTATTTACTACAAGTACATGTACATGGTATACAGTCCTAGCTGACAACAATGACATACTACTACATAGAAAGCCACTTGTTATGCTGAGCATCTCGGGCAAATTAGGTCAGTGTCCCAGGATGCGACCCACACCAGTCGTCTAACACCCAGGTACCCATTTTACTGATGGGGAACATAGACAACAGGTGGAAAGAAACACGCCCAATGTTTCTACTCTGGCTGGGAATCGAACCCAGGCCCTCTCCGTGTGAAGCGAGAGCGTTAACCACCAGGCCACCAGAGCCGCAAATCAAAAGATGAGAGGGACAATTAAGAAATTAGTATATTCAGTTATAGAGAGAAATAAAAAAGGGAATTAGAAAAGCAAAAAGAGATTATAAAGTTAAAGTTGCAAGAGAATCGAAGACTAACCCAAAAGGATTCAGGTATACAGAAGTAAGATCAGGGGCAAGATAGGCCCACTCAAAAGTTACTCGGGTCAGCTCACGGACAGTGATAAGGAAATGTGTAGAATTTTTAACACATACTTCCTCTCAGTTTTTAGACAGGAAAATGCTAGCGATATTCCAGAAATAATAAATTATGTAGAACAGGACGATAATAAATTATGCACGACTAGGGTCACAAGTGACATGGTCCTTAGGCAAATAGATAAAACCTAATAAATCCCCAGGCTCTGATGAACTGTACGCAAGGGTTCTAAAGGAATGTAAAGAGGAGTTTAGCAAACCTTTGGCTAATCTTTTGAACATATCACTACAAACTGGCATGGTGCCAGATAAGTGGAAAATGGCAAATGTGATACCTATTTTCAAAGCAGGTGACAGGTCCTTAGCTTCGAACTATAGACCAATAAGCCTAACCTCCATAGTGGGAAAATTTATGGAATCAATAATTGCCGAGGCAGTTCGTAGCCATCTTGAAAAGCATAAATTAATCAACGAATTTCAGCATGGTTTTACAAAGGGGCGTTCCTGCCTTACGAATTTATTAACTTTTCTACTAAGGTATTTGAGGCGGTAGATCATGGTAATGAATATGATATTGTGTATATGGACTTCAGTAAGGCTTTTGACAGTCCCACATCAGAGACTGTTGAGGAAAATTAAGGCACATGGAATAGGAGAATTTTTTTTCCTGGATAGAGGCATGGTTGACAAATAGGCAGCAGAGAGTTTGCATAAATGGGGAGAAATCAGAGTGGGGAAGCGTCACGAACGGTGTTCCACAGGGGTCAGTGTTGGGTACCCTGTGGTTCACAATCTACATAAACGACATAGCTGAGGGCATAAAGAGCAACATAAGCAAGTTTGCCGATGACACCAAAATAGGTCGTCGAATTCATTCTGACGAGGACATTAGAGCATTAGATTTGAAAAGACTGATGCAGAGGTCGGAGAAGTGGCAGATGCAGTTTAATGTAGACAAATGATAAGTTCTAAACATTGGACAGGAAAATAACCATGCCACATATAAACTAAATAATGTAGATCTTAATACTACTGATTGCGAAAAGGATTTGGGAGTACTGGTTAGCAGTAATCTGAAACCAAGACAACAGTGCATAAGTGTTCGCAGTAAGGCTAACAGAATCCTTGGCTTCATATCAAGACGCATAATTAATAGCAGTCCTCAGGTTGTTCTTCAACTCTATATATCCTTGGTTAGGCCTCATTTAGATTATGCTGCACAGTTTTGGTAACCGTATTACAGAATGGATATAAATGCTCTGGAAAACGTACGAAGGAGGATGAGAAAGTTGATCCCATGTATCAGAAATCTTCCCTGTGAGGATAGACTGAGGGCCCTGAATCTGCACTCTCTAGAAAGGCGTAGAATTAGGGGGGATATGATTGAGGTGTATAAATGGAAGGCAGGAATAAATAAAGGGGATGTAAATAACATGCTGAAAATATCTAGCCTAGACAGAACTCGCAGCAATGGTTTTATGTTGGAAAAATTCCTATTCAGGAAGGATATAGGAAAGTACTGGTTTGGTAATAGAGTTGTGGATGAGTGGAACAAACTCCCGAGTACCGTCATAAAAGCTAAGACGTTGTGTAGATTTAAAAATAGGTTGGATAAATACATGAGTGGGTGTGGGTGGGGGTGAGTTGGACCTGATTAGCTTGTGCTACTAGGTCAGTTGCCGTGTTCCTTCCTTAAGTGGATGTGACCTGACCTGACTGGGTTTGGGCATTGGCTTAAGCCGGTAGGAGACTTGGACCTGCCTCGCATGGGCCAGTAGGCCTGTTGCAATGTTCCTTCTTTCTTATGTTCGTATGTTATATACCTTGTAGATGAATGGTTCAGAGAACCGACACGGTGAGAAATTAGACACATGTGCAACTCTTGGGTATCTTTATTGAGGAAACGTTTCCCCACACAGTGGCTTCATCAGTCCATACAAAGGAGAAACTTGAAGAACAGGAGGAGAATGAGGTAATCAGTCCCTCAACCTTGAGTCCATGTGGTTAGTCCATCAATCTTGAATAGAATACGGCATATGAGCGGAGAAGCAGCTTATAAACCGTAGGCAGGAGAAGTGCAGCAGTCATAGGTGGTGTCACATTTGTTCAATGTGGAAGTAGGTCGTGCCCAAGGGTTAGGCAAGCGAAGAATTCCCAAGTATTAAGATCCCAAGAAGTTGCAGTGTCTGACAGGATTGTAGATGAATGGTTCACAGAACCGACACGTTGATAAATTAGGTGCAGCAGTCGTAGGTGACACCACCTACGACTGCTGCACCTCTCCTGCCTACGGTTTATAAGCTGCTTCTCCGCTCATACGCCGTATTCTGTTCTGGACTGACCACATTGACTCAAGGCTGAGGGACTGATTACCTCACTCTCCTCCTGTTCAAGTTTCTCCTTTGTATGGACTGACGAAGCCACTGTGTGGCGAAACGTTTCCTCAACAAAGATACCCAAGAGTTGCACATGTGTCTAATTTATCAACGTTATATACCTGTTACTGATTTCGAGGGTTCTCATTCACAACGTAATCTGATGATACCTGGCCATAGGCCTCGATGAATCTGGATTACCAGTGAGTAAAAGGTAAGCAGTGAGGAGCTGCCTTCGACATGAGTAGGTGAGAGATGGACTTGCCTGTTATGGGCCAGTAGGCCTGATGCAGTGCTTCTTTTCTGTGTTCTTATTTAAGTGTAAATATTTTTGTTTCAGGTGTCGGGTGCGATCATGGGCAGCTGGGGCGGCTGGGTGGCGGCGGTGGCGGCAGCAACAATAGCAACAGCAACAACAACAACAGCAGCAACAACAATAATTCACCGTCACACTACCACAACCAGCAGTTTACCTTCCCTGCTGCGCCACACCAGGTACACCTTCCCCAAGTACACCTTCCCTTACCCTTACCTTCCCCAGGTACATCTGCCCTTACCCGTACCTTCCCCAGGTACATCTACCCTTACCCGCACCTTCCCCAGGTACATCTGCCCTTACCCTTACCTCTGCCTTTCCCAGGTACATCTGCCCTTACCTCTACCTTCCCCAAGTACATCTGCCCTTACCCGTACCTTCCCCAAGTACATCTGCCCTTACCCGTACCTTCCCCAGGTACACGCATACTCTCCCCGGATACACCTGCCCTTGTACCCTCCAGGTACATATGCTTTTACCACTACCCTCCCCAGGTACACTTGCTCTTATACCCTCCTCAGGTACAACTACTATTACCTGTACCCTCCCCAGGTATCATTAGCCTGTTTTTCAGTCTTGATCTTAATAATCTCTTAGACTTGACATGCTGAAGTCAAGTCTTAAAAGGTGACGATGACGGTGTCATTAATTATTCATGTAACTTGTGAATAAATATTATCATGAAAACACTAAACCCGTATTGGTCATGCAGCAGCGGCCTTGGGACTGGGAGGTAATCAGGTTTGATCCGAGGAAGGGAGGTGTATATAAGCAGGTTCCACAGCTGCTAGGGTATATATCAGCAATATCAATTAGGTGTTTTGTGATTGTGTTGGTCGTGGTTGTGATGTATTGGTCGTGATTGTGGTGATAATTATTGACAGTAGTTTTGATAACAAGGATTGTGATAATGTTGGTAGTGTTTGTGGTGATAGTTATAAGGGTTATCGTGATAGGTCATTCTTTATCTTTTGCGTTGTGGTGATAGTTATGGTGGCAAGAGGTCGGGGGTTATTGATTGGGATTGTCAAAACTTGTGATGATTATTGTACTATTGGTTGCGGTGACAGTCATGTTGGTTATAGTGATAAAGGCTGAGGGTAACGGCAGTATAGTATGATAATCAGTGAAGTCAGAGACTGTGGTGCACTTAAAGGTGTGTCATGGTTGTAGCTATGATTTGGTGATAGCAATAATGACTGTAGTTTGGTGGTGTATTGTACGAGCAGTTGTGTGTGCGTTTGGGGGAGGGATTCTGCTAGTGGTGTGATTGTAGCTTATATTTTATGGTTAAAATGGTTACTGTTTTAAAGTCTGGGGATTGTAAGGTAATGAGTTGCGAAGTGAGGAAGGGGAGACTAGTTCCTATCCCTTTGAATAGGAAAGCACCCTTCTTTGAAGGATACAGTTCCTTGGATCGGGAGTGTTAGGATTAAGGTAAGGGCTTTGCTGTTGCGAACTTTAACGTTGTAGGGGGTATTGTTAAAGCTTGCAATCATTCCCTTCCCTCACCCTCGACTGTCATCTTGTTCTTACAGCAGCAAATGCCCCAGTTTGCGCACCTGATGTGCCCTAAGACGTCACCTGGGTCTCCCCACCACCTGACACAAGATAACACATACTACCTCACCTACCAACACCAGACTTCCCTCGAGGACCAGGGTATTGATGTCCAGGTGAGCTCTTCCGTCACTCGTATTGCCTCTTCATCTAGTTCGTTTTTCTTTGTACTAATTAAGACAAGGTTGTAACTGTTCTTACAACACTTAGGTATATTTACTGTGGATACGTTTCACCACCCAGTGGCTTTATCAAATCAGCAGAGAGAGAAAAATATCGGACACAGTGGAAAACTTGTAAAAGTAGTTTTAGGCGATTAGTCCCCAGTGTCGATGAATTTGTTGGAAGACTTGAAGAAATAGTTTGTGGCTACAGTGGTGGCCCATGCTAACTTTCCTATGGTATATAGAAATATACCTAGTTGGATGAATCTTAGTAGAGCCAGCTGGCAGAGTGGTCTTTGAGTTTTAGGACTCTTGCCATGGGTTCAAATCCCCACCTGTTCCGTGGTTTGTTTGCAATCGCGTTATTACTATTTCGTTAGTCATAGTTTGAGATGCTTAGTTCCTCAGACTTGAAAGGAGGTGTTCAGTCCATCAGTGTTGACCACTCTAAGGTAGATAGATGCCCGAGGATTGAAGTGATCAATAAAACCACTGGTTGGCGACTCATCTTCACCGTAAAGATACTCATGTGTTATATATGTGTCTTGCTCATCTACTTGTTGTGTATACCATTAATATATAATGTGTGTGATGAACAGGAATTATAGTTGTTTTGCAATCTGTTTAATGAAAATACAAACCAGAACGTTGCAGACTTACCGACCACTTTCTTCTTCCAATTTATGGGTAAACGTGAATTATCATGGCGCTTTTTCTTAAGTGTAGGAAGCTGTGATATATTAGGTTATAATGTAATAAATAATAGTGTCATTAATGTGTCACAGTCTCCGGGGCGGTCAAGTCCAGGGTCAGGCAGCGGGTCGTCCACCACAGGGTCAACAGCGTCGTCGTCAGGAGGGTGTCGCAACTCCACTACCTCCTTGGACTCCGGCCGCGCCTCCACCACCACCCACTCTCATCAGCACAGGTCAGTCTCTCCTCGGCCTCCTCCTCTGGTAACCTCTGTGGCTGAATGGTTACTGAGTTGAGTCTGCCATATGTATGGACTACGGTTCAAGTCCCCTGTCTGTCCTCATTCTCCTCACTGTGTCCAAAGGAACATAGTTTAAAATACAAATAAATATAAGCTATTTTGGAGTCACTGAATATAATTATTGCTCAGAGTCTATCCAGGACTGATTATATATAATCAACATTGGGAAGCTCTGAACCCATTCCTGGTTACCCCCCATTCCCCAGCAGCCAAGGAATTGAGAGGTAATAAGGTTTGATCCAAGAAAGGGATGGGTAGCCCCGGTTCCTTAGATCAAGACCCCTTCACTAGCATTAAGGCGCTTCTCTTGAAGGGTCGACAGTAGCACCATATTGAATATTATTTATTAATATGTAAATCAGCCTTGATGTTATCCTGTTTGTGCTGCAGGTCATACTGACTGCTGATGCTCCGTTCAACTACATTATTTGTTTTAACATAAAATAATGAACTTTGGACAAATAACGGATACTTGGGGTAAATGATGAACATGGGCCTGCAAGCATTTCTCTGACTAGGATGGATTGTGTGTTTTCCGAGATTGCCACTTTTGAATATTGAGATCACTAGGATGTGAGGAAATAATGAGATTTTTTTTATTGTTGAAGTGGTAAGGTTTCGCCGAAGGGCGACAGTGTGATGTGCAGTGTGGTGTAGTGCAGTATGATGTGTTTGCAATCGTGTCATTACGATTTCGTGAGTCAGTATGATGTGTGGATTGATGTAGTGTAGTATGAAGTGATGCGTTATAGTGCGGAGTCTTGTGCTGCGGTGTGGTGTGGGGGTAGTGGCTTCGGTGCCGGGGATATTGTGATGAGTTTCAGTTAGTGATGGCGTGGTGTTGGTTTGTGCAGGTTGAGTGGACAGAGCTACGACAGCGGCTCCATCCTCCGTCACAGCTACCACTCGTCCAGCTCCAGCCTGGGCTCCATGGAACACGACCCCGCCACCCACCTCAATGTTCCTGAGCTCCTCAACAACGGAGTCAGGGTAAGTACTGCTGAACTCAATCACCGCTGATATATTTTCAACTGTGATTTCTTTGTGCCTTTTCTTTTTTTTTCCAGTATACTGCATTGCATACTAGTGGCTTTCTTTTGTGCCAAACAGTATTTCATTACATATAAACTACATTATCTGTGTACTCCATTAAAAGAAATTAAAATTTGGTTTTGAGTAGTGCTGTGTGGCTTTGTTAGCTAATGTAAAGGAAATATTTGTTTACTGTTCTGAAAATGGTGTAGGTATCGTTTACAGCAAGGTAGTTTAACTGTTTTTCTTAGGAATACAACAGCATCCATTTTAAGTTATGCAGTTTCTCGTTGCTTGCTATTCCAGCTGATGTATCGAACGTATTTGCTGTTTGTTTACTGAATTGATACTACTACCGTGCAACAATTAAGGGTTTACTGTACAGCTGTGTAATAACCTATTTGTAGTTGCGGGAGTTATGCTCGTGATATTCCGTCTTCTAAATAAATGGTCCAAGTCGGACCGAAACGTAGTCGTAAGCTCCTCTCTTTTATGTGCGGCTTTATAAACACATATGCAGTATAATGTGATCCTTTATTGACAACGTTTCACCCACACAGTGGGCTTTTTCAAGTCACACACAGATCTGTGTGGGACTTGAAAAAGCCCAGTGTGGGTGAAACGTCAATAAAGGATCACATTATACTGCATGTGTGTTTATATTTCCACTGTGTCGGTATTTGATACCATTTATTTCCATGTGCGGCTTATTTGTGTTTTATTCCGTTTTCTGTTTAAATATTGTACAATAAGTTTGTTAAATACCTATTGGTTATGGTACACTTTTCCTTATTTTATTCCAACCATCTACGACTCCGTAAAGAAATATTTTCTATCCCTTCTATATTATTTCTTATGTAGTTTAAAGTTGCATATTCCATCAACCATGTCTACATTTTTATATCTTTGTTATAAATTTATATGTAGTAACTGTATATCTTCCAGGTCGTTTAGTCTTCATAATTTATATACAGTAATTGTGTAATCCACATTTGTCGTATCTCAATAACTGTGGACACAACCACACCTCAGAGGAATACTCCTGCTGGTAACATCAGCGTTGAGTGTTTGAACCTAGTAGTAAGGGGCCTCTTCTGGGAGGGTTACCACTCTTCCCATAGGCTGCTTGCCTAAGAGCAGCATAAATGGTGTATATATATAATTTTTTTTCCCCCGTACTTCTAAATTCGTTGAACCGACCGACAACAACGAATTACTGATGCGATTAGAGAGAAGTGAAAATATGTTGAATTGTTTTATATTTACTTCGTGGTTTTGAATTATGTAATATGAGAGGAAATTGGTTACGACAGTTTAAGTTATAGTGCCAAATTGATTCTGTTTCAAGCGGAGTATGATTAAACTACTCAGTAACCAAACGGTTATCGTGCTTTGTAAATAATATAAATAAAATAAAACACGAATATTCCAGTTTTAAATACAAAAAAGTTTAAATATTTGGTCCCGTTTTCATTAAAATCCATTTAAAAATTTGTCTGATAACGAGTTTCTTTTCATTTATATGGTTATCTGGTGAAAACTTGTTTAAGCTCATTTCTTTTTCTTTTCCAGATAGTCTTAAAATTGTATCACACAAACATTCATTTGTCTACCCACTTAACAATAGTGGCATTTATCAGGATTAATTGCTTTTGTCTATTTTTTACTGTACGTTTACGTGGGTGTGTTACGATCCGTTAAGATGGGAGAGCAACTCTCAGCATCACGTCAGAAGATAGTCATTTTAACATCATAGATCAGGGTCCACTCTCAGTAGTAAAGTGTTATGACAGGTCGTAGTGCATTCCGCAGAGATACATCTTAGGTGAAAATGCCTTGTCTACCTTAATGCTTTCAATGTTTTTGTCGTTATGTAACTGACTCTTATAAGAACATAAGAACGAAGGAACACTGCAGCAGGTCTACTGGCCCATGCGAGGCAGGTCCAAGTCTCCTACCGGCTTAAGCCAATGCACCCAACCTAGTCAGGTCAGGTCACATTGACTTAAGGGAGGAACGCGGCAACCGACCTGGTAGCACAAGCTATCAGGTCCAACTCACACCCACCCACATCCACTCATGTATTTATCCAACCTATTTTTAAAGCTACACAACGTTCTGGCCTCTATCACTGTACTTGGGAGTTTGTTCCACTCATCCACAACTCTATTACCAAACCAGTACTTTCCTATATCCTTCCTGAATCTGAATTTTTCCAACTTAAAACCATAGCTGCGAGTCCTGTCTAGGCTAGCTATTTTCAGCATACTATTTACATCCCCTTTATTTATTCCTGTCTTCCATTTATACACCTCAATCATATCCCTCCTAATTCTACGTCTTTCTAGAGAGTGCAGATTCAGGGCCCTTAGTCTATCCTCATAGGGAAGGTTTCTGATACATGGGATCAACTTTGCCATCCTCCTTTGTACATTTTCCAGAGCATTTATATCCATTCTTTAATACGGTGACCAAAACTGTGCAGCATAATCTAAATGAGGCCTAACCAAGGATGTATAGAGTTGAAGAACAACCTGAGGACTCCTATTATTTATGCTTCTTGATATGAAGCCAAGGATTCTATTCGCTTTATTGCGAACACTTATGCACTGTTGTCTTGGTTTCAGATTACTGCTAACCAGAACTTCTAAATCTTTTTCGCAATCCGTAATATTAAGATCTACATTATTTAGTTTATATGTGGCATGGTTATTGTCCTGTCCAACATTTAGAACTTTGCATTTGTCTATATTAAACTGCATCTGCCACTTCTCCGACCACTGCATCAGTCTATTCAAATCTTCCTGGAGTGCTCTAATGTCCTCGTCAGAATGAATTCGACGGCCTATTTTGGTGTTATCGGCAAACTTGCTGATGTCGCTCTTTATGCCCTCATCTATGTCGTTTATGTAGATTGTGAACAGCAGGGGGCCCAACACTGACCCCTGTGGAACACCGCTCGTGACGCTTCCCCACTCTGATTTCTCCCCATTTATGCAAACTCTCTGCTGCCTCTTTGTCAACCATGCCTCTATCCAGGAAAAAAATTTCTCCTATTCCATGTGCCTTAATTTTCCTCAATAGTCTCTGATGTGGGACCCTGTCAAAAGCCTTACTGAAGTCCATATACACAATATCATATTCATTACCATGATCTACCTCCTCAAATACCTTAGTGAAAAAAATTAATAAATTCGTAAGGCAAGAACGCCCCTTTGTAAAACCATGCCGAGATTCGTTGATTAATTTATGCTTTTCAAGGTGGCTACGAACTGCCTCGGCAATTATTGATTCCATAAATTTTCCCACTATGGAGGTTAGGCTTATTGGTCTATAGTTCGAAGCTAAGGACCTGTCACCTGCTTTGAAAATAGGTATCACATTTGCCATTTTCCACTTATCTGGCACCATGCCAGTTTGTAGTGATGTGTTGAAAAGATTAGCCAAAGGTTTGCTAAGCTCCTCTTTACATTCCTTTAGAACCCTTGCATACAATTCGTCAGGGCCTGGGGATTTGTTAGGTTTTAATTTATCTATTTGCCTAAGGACCATGTCACTTGTGACCCTAATCGTGCACAGTTTATTATCGTCCTGTTCTACATAATTTATCATTTCTGGAATATCGCTGGTATCCTCCTGTGTAAAAACTGAGAGAAAGCATGTGTTAAAAATTCTACACATTTCCTTATCACTGTCAGTGAGCTGACCCGAGAAACTTTTGAGTGGGCCTATCTTGTCCTTGATCTTACTTCTGTATACCTGAAAGAATCCTTTTGGGTTAGTCTTCGATTCTCTTGCAACTTTAACCTCATAATCTCTTTTTGCTTTTCTAATTCCCTTTTTTATTTCTCTCTTTAACTGAATATATCGATTTCTTAATTGCCCCTCTCCTCTTTTGATTTGCCTATATATGCCTCTCTTTTGACCAATGAGATATTTTAATCTATTGTTCATCCATTTAGGATCATTTTTGTTTGATCTGATTTCCCTATTTGGAACATAATTTGACTGAGCAGCTAGAACTATGCCCTAGAAAGCGTCATATCGGCAACCATCACCACCTACCTGACCCTTAGTCAGGTCATTCCAGTTCAGCCCACCTATGTAATTTTTCAGTCCTATGAAATCAGCCAAGCGAAAGTCAGGGACGGAGACTTGATTGCCATTATTAGGGGAATTCCATGATATATTAAAACTGAGACCTTAAGGGAGCTAGTCCCTTGCTGCCCTCTGCTGTCCCCCTTTGTTTGCTGACCCGATCTATTGTCTTTATTTATAACTTCATGCTGAATGCCTTTTATACATTTACTGTTTCCAACCCTAGTGTTGCAACCTGTTTGTTTCCCACACACACACCCATACCTCTATCTTCTATCAGTTTAAAATAACAGTCATTTCACCAATGGCCTTCTCAATTGAGTTTGCAAGTGCTACCACCCCAGCCCCAGAGATATGTACCCCATCCCTTGCATACATATCATGTTTGCCATAAAAGTTGTTCCAGTTGTCAGTGAATGGGATTGCAAGTTCCTTGCAGTATCTGTCTAGCCAGCAATTTACACCAATTGCCCTAGACAACCATTCATTTGTTACTTCCCTTCTAGGCAAGATGCTACATATGATTGGGACCCCTCCCTTAGACTTAATGAAATCTATAGCTGACCTGTACTTATCTAGCAGCTCTACTCTCCTACCCTTCCCAATATCATTTCCACCAGCACTGAGACAGATAATGGGCTTGTTCCCATTACCTGACATATTATCCAGCCTGTTAACTATGTCCCCAACACCAGCTCCAGGGAAGCACACTCTATCTCTCATCTTATTCCTATTACAAAAAGCACGGTCAATATATCTTACCTGAGAGTCACCAACCACAAGAATGCGCTTACCTCTGTTAGCAGGGGCAGTAGTACCCTTACCTTCACTGGCCACTGAAGTACATTCATCCTGAAGAA